CCTAGGGTACAATAGGATATTACGTTATGAGAATGTGGAATGATCAGATAAGCTACTAACAAGAAACTAACACACGCATCATCTTGCGTGCTTATGTTTTGGGTGGTGAAAACATTTGAAATCTATTTTCTGAGCAATTCCAACAGATATACATATATATATATATATATATATATATATCTGTCACCATAGTCACCATAGTGTGTGGTAGATCTTGGAGTATGATTTCTCCCATTTCCTAGGCTTTGTGCCCTTTGCACCCCTTCTGACCCGTCTCCCACTGCCTGGGCCCAGTCACCACCATCCTGCTCCGCTTTCATGAGTTCGATGGCTTCAGGGTTCACACAGAAGGGAAAGCATGCAGAAGTTTTACCATTTCCATAAGGAAAAGCAGATGCAGGGACGGGCGTTCGATTGCTGATGTGTGTGCGGGCCCCACCCCTAGGGCTCACTGAGATGGTGATTGAGACTGGGTGTGGTGGGATGTGCCTGTAATCCTAGCACTTGGCTGTAAACATGAGGATCACTATGAGTTGAATCTAGTAATGAGACCCTGAACACCCTGTAGACCCTGTAGACCTTGTACTAAATACATTGAAACAAAAAGAAAGAAAAAAACTATTGGTGCATTTTCGGCATCTGTGACAATCACACTCATTACAGGGACTTGCAATGTCCATGATTTGCCTTGATCCTTCCTTCCCCATGTCTCATGTTCCCTCCTCCCTTTAGCCCCTCATCGCATCCTTGTTTACAAACTTTGTTTCTATTTTTCCTTCTTTTCTCATTTGTTTCCTTCTTCCTTCCTCCCTTCTTCCTCCCTCCTCCCTAGTGCGCCTTCTCATTTGAACATATTCTACCCATTTCATAATGTACAGTTTTGTCCTTATTTATACTTTTGGTTTCTCACAGCAGAGAAACACTGCAATATCAACACATGATTTATTTCACTGAAGAGTACAGTCTGGGGAGGCAGCAAGCATTTACTGAGAAATGCCTTGAGTTTATCTTTCTTTATGCCTGAGTACTATTTCATTGTAAATGGATAGATTCCTAGAGAAGTACAAATTACCAAAGCTGAATAAAGATTAAAAAATTCCAAATAAACCAATATCAGTCAATGAAATTGAGCATATAATTAAAACTTAGTAAAGTCTAGGTTGTGATGGATTCACTGCTGAATTCTATAAGAAATTTAGAGATCTAATGCCACTACTTCTCAAACTCTTTACTGAAACTGGAAGAGAGCAATACTCCCGAAGACATTCCTGAAAGTATTACCCTGATACCAAAAAGTATTGCCCTGATTACTATTGCAGTGCAGTTCCCTGCAATGAGTGTGATCATCATGGGTGCCGAAAATGTACCAATAGTTGTTTTCTTTCTTTTTTTATGTATTTAGTACAAGGTCTACAAGGCAAAAATTCTCAACATGGTACTGGCAAACAGGGCTGGGGAGATAGCTCAGTGGTGTAAGCACCTGCCTGGCCAGCACAAGGACCCAGGTTGGATTCCCAGTACAGCATGCCATGCCATCGAGCCTGCCACCAAGACCAGGTGCGGTGGTGCATGCCTATAATCTGAGATCTGGGGAGGCTGAGACAGGAGGATCACTACAAGTCCAAGCTGCATGGTGAAACCCTGTACCAAATAAATAAATAAATAAAGATCCTGGCATATAGAATGCAGCAAATAATCAAGAAGATTATGCAGCATGATCAAGTAGGGTTTTTCCCAGGGATGCAGGGAAGGACTAAGACAAAGATGTCCATTGTCATCACTCCTATTCAATATAGTTCTGGAAACATTAGCCAGAGCAATTAGACAAGAAGAGGAAATACAAGGACTAAGGACAGGAAGGGAAGAAGTTAAATTATCCTTGTTTGCAGATGACTTGGTACTCTATGTTGACAACCTCAAAAACTCCATCAGTATTTTAGAACAACTACAAATTCATAAAGTATCTGTCTGTGTGCAAGAGAAAGGTTGGCTACCACTTTTTAATGTTTGCATCTTAATGATTCTAAGAATATGTTGACAGAAATATGCTGCAAACAAATCAATTTAAATGATTTATAACACTTTCAAATATTTTTTACTCTAGAAGTTTTACTGTACATATGATAGCCATTATATATTATATATATGATTGATATATACATATATTTGCATATTTTTCAAGGTATTGTATGACATTGTTAAAACTAAAAGATGCATTTAGTGTAAGATGGCCTTACTTTTAACTCTATGGATTCTTCAAAGACTTAAAGCAATCTTTTAAGCCGTTTCAAGGTTTCATTTGAGAATTATCAGTCCAAACCTCTGTTCTCTTGGCAGATGAAAGTCTTGGACTTTTCCAAGAATGAAGTCTGCTTACCATTGCTGATAACATGTCTGCTGCTTTCATTTCACTGTGGGTTTGGATAGAGTGTTTTATTTATTTATTTTTCTGTATTTTTTAGGGAAGGGTCTACAGGGTGTTCAGAGTCTCACTACTAGATTGGACTTGTAGTGATCCGCTTATTTACAGCCTCCCAAGAGCTGGGATTACAGGGGCGGGTGTGCCACAATACTCAGTCTCAATCGCCATCTCAGCACGCTCTGGGGGCAGGGCCGGCACTGCAGGCTGGGGATCGAATCCTTGGCCCCTGAGTCTGCTTGCAGATGCTTTAATTCGCTGAGCTATTTGGCAGGCCCAGAATTTTGTGTTGTGTGCCACTCAGATGTAGAATCTGTGCCAAAGTGAGGGGGTGCAGCAGAAAGTCACGCTTCTCCATTCCAAGAATAAAAAAAAAAGAAAAACAGGAAAAACACTCCCACCTCCCCCTACACACATCAAAGATGTATTACTAGCCCTGCTGGATAGCTCAGCAGATTAAAGTGCCTGCTTAGGCAGATGCAGACCGGGGTTCAATCCCTGATGTGCCCTGCCAGCCCTGCCCCAGCGGCGCACTGAGACAGCAACTGAGACTGGGCATGTTGGCGTGTGCCTGTAATCCCAGTGCTTGGGAGGTTGAACACAGGAGGATCACTGAGTCCAACCTATGTAGTGAGACCCTGTACACCCTGTACCAGATACATCAAAAAAAAGATGTATTATTTTTTGTATGGTGTTTTAAAAACTGAGTTGCTATTTTATAACATGCTTCTTAGAAACCTCCTCGTCCCTGCATTGCAAATAAATCTAAATGTGCTTCCGTATCCCTGGAAACTGGGGACTGAAGGCGGGAGGGAATGTGTCCACAAGTGTCTTGTGCCTTCAACACAGGGTGAGAAATGATGGTAGTGTCAACATCATAACAGGTTTTTAAAAGACTGCTCTGAGCCATTCAGTGTGTTTATTCATTAAATTGAATGAGAATTTGTTCATTAAAAATACAGACTTTTCAGGATGCTTTCAAGTTTATTATTAGTTCAGCAGGTTTTAAAATTTGTGATATTATTTTAACACTTGAAAAACATTTTGTCAGACCCAAGGCCCAGGATAAGATAAGTGGATTTTTGTAATGTTTCTTTAAATTATTTTATTATCTGATTTTTAAATCTCTCTCACTGCAAGGATGATCTGTCCAGTCTGGGACTAGTATAGTGTTTCTCAGTCTTAAAATTTGCTGTATTCCCAATTATAATAGATTTTGTTTCTACTCTGTGAAATTTAATTAAATATTGCTTTTTATAATTCCCTGTTTTTTTTTTTTAGCTGACTGTCATCAGCCACCAGTGTTATGCTAGTTTTGGCCAGCAGTTATTATTTTCTTGCTGTTCCCCTATATTTTGTCTCGAGGCATAGTTATACTTCTGCCTGAATCGGTTTGGTCTTTTCTCTTACTGATTTCTCTGTTTGTAGTTAAGCACCCTTACTTGGCAGTTATGCCGTTCATAGTATTTCTATTTCTTAGCATAACTTAATGCTGATTTTATTTTTTTCTCTCTCGTGAGAGCGTGAGGTCGCATTTGTGAACACGTCACATACCAGGGTGGCTGCTGTTTTGTATGGCCCCAGAGCCAGACGTAGATCTGTCCCTGAGCCCTCCTTCCAAGGCTTCTTGGAAGCACACAGGAGATACTGTTTTAAACTTTTGTGAAGTACTTTTGTGTCACCCTGTCTTCTTATTCTTGTGTTCATGTCACATTAGCCTTCCAGAGATTTTGCCTGTGTGTCTGAGAATGCAGTCTCAAAGCTGAGGTCATGCGGGACCCAGTATAAGGTCCGCTTCTTAAAAAAGGATCAACCATTTCTTTGATAGTGACTGAGGCATACACAGTTGTAGTAAAAGTTCACCCTCAAGAGTAATTCAATTCAGATCACACTTGATAAGTCACATGTTGATTGCAGAACTGCAAGGGACTTCTTTATTTTGTGGGAACATTTCTCTGTGCTCCTGTATCTTCTGTACAACTCGTAGAAAATGATCAACAGAACGCCCAGCTAGAACAATAGGCTATTTCCTTTTATCCCAGTCTGTTTGTCATTCTTGTGGATGGACAGAGTTCAGAGTTGATTTCAAAATCCCTGGCTCTGGTCCTCCCCCGCTCGCACTGCCTGGGACAGGCGAGAGGCCTTTTCTCTGTGCTTCAGCAGCAGCGCGGCAGCCCAGCCCAGCTGGGACCGTGGGCACGGGCCTTCTCCTGTCCTCTCACTTCTGCTTCTACCCGCTCCACATCTGGGGTAGTGGTTGTCTAATAAAACTGAATATATTAGGGTTGCTCGGGAGAGTCAGTTCCTTTTGTTTCTCTGTCCTTTGACTTACTTGGATGGGAAAATGGCCAAAAAAAAAAAAAAAAAAAAAAAAAAAA